TGCGGCTATGGGGGGGCGCTCCCGGGCGCGCAAGTGTCCCCGCCCCCTGGCGCCCGGTGGGCGAACGGCCACGCCCCCTGGCGCCCGACAACCTCAAAAGGTTGGGGACCACTGCCCTAGAATGTGTCTGGATTATTTTCACTCATAGTTTCAGTTCACACATCCCATGTGCTCCTCCCATAGCTTCTTGCTGCTCTTACAGTGAAATCACATGATCCAGTCCAGGCTCCTTTGTAACCAGGGTTGACTATCTCTCGTCCCCCACCTCCACCACCCTGATTGGTAATCAACCCTGCTACAAGTTCAAAAATCAGTAAGTGACAAATTACTGGTCTAAAGCTCTTGAATTCAGAAGCGATTTTGGATGTGATGGAGACATGAGAGACACTTTATGTAATTTAGTTCTTTGATCTGCTTCTCAGCGATTGACTCTTTCATTGAAAAGATGCTATGACTTACATATTCAGCAAACTATAACCTTTCCAATGACACTCCACATGACTTATCTTGCATGAAATACACAATAGCTATATCATAATCATATCATAATAATATCATGGTGAATAATATGAGTTTCACTTCATAATACCATCGATAATTTTTTGAGGACATGCAGTTTAAAGCTTAGGGATTTGAAATAACTTTATTTCGTAAAGTGGTACTTTACCTCTGTCTTTTCCGTCCTTCTTCTAAAGCTGTGTATCATTATCGAGGCAAAGGAATAGTCCAAATTTCAGAAAAAAAGGACTCTGCTGATAATCCAAACTCTTCCAAAAGAGATTATTTATTTATTATATGGTTTCCATAATTTATCCATTCTATGAGCAAGACATAAACTGCATTGTGGGGTAAGCAATGATACTTGAAATAAAGTTAATTATCTCAGTCCTGAATATGCAATTCCCTTCTAAAAGATAGTACACTATTGCTATGTCTACACTACAGAGGTTTTTTTTCGGAAAAACAGCCATTTTTCCGAAAAAAACTTCACTTACGTCCACACTGCAGTTGCGTTCTTTCAAAAACAAATTGAAAGAACAGAGGGGTTTTTCTGACATTGGCAAACCTCTTTCTATGAGGAAGAACCCTTTTTCTGAAAGAGCTCTTCTGGAAAAAGGCATGTGTGGACAGGGAAGACGGAATTCTTTCGAAACTTTTGTATCACTTCTGAAAATCTTAGCAACTGTGTGTCAAGCGCATAACATATGTATTGGCAAAAAAATAGGAATATTAAATACAAATGGAAATGTATTGCAAATTATTTATATTTATTTCTGTTTGAAATTTCAAACTGCAGTACATTAGAATTAGAAAAGCACACAAGCATTCATAATACAAACTAATGTAGCTGTCACAACTAAAGAGTAATAGTTCCTCGAAGCGTTTCACTCTTCACTACCCCTCTCCTTTCTATTAAAAAGTTTTAATGAATTGTGTATAATCAGGACAATTGTCCTAGAAAATACGTTATGGATTAAAAGGACTGTGGCTGCTATCAAATGTTGCTAAAATTATATTAACCCTCGCCTTTCATTTTTTAATATTGTATCCTTTGCAGTGTGGGGCAGGCTGCTGTGTGCAGTAATGTGGTAGAATTATTTTGAGATTTATAAGAAGTAAATAAGCTTTACATAAACAATATTTATGAAATGAAAGGTATGGAATATATTCTATTTTTAGAAACTGAGAGAAGTTTTTCTAGTTAGAAAATGTTATGTGAAGACTTGAAGGGTACTGTCTTTTAGCATCTTGGGGACTGTTTTCTCCCGTAAGAACATGCAAGGTATACAGTATATAGAAACATATTACTACAGAATATATTGATAGCAAAGGTTGTAAGAACCATCTACAGCACCCACTCATAGATAAATCTGTGAGATTCAAATGAAGCAACTATAGTCATACCATACATAAAAAGGCGTATAGTATGATCTGTCTTGACATTTTTTCTTGAGAGAAAATGATACAATTGCACAAAAACTTAAATAAGTAGCACCACTTTATTTTGTGAAAGTTACATTCATGCACAGAGTTGATAGGAAAGTCCAGAGAATCTTGTTTCACCATAGTGATAGGATTGATTGATGTCTTTGCTGATGAGACTGTAACTGGGGGATTTCTTTCCAAACCACAGAACTTCTTAGTAAATGGAGTGTGTGCAATAACTATATAGAAAATGCAGTTTTCTGCCTGATGACCTCAAACCACATCCTATAATTCAGTATTTTATAGAAACCAAACTGAACCACAGATTAGCCACTGATTTGCCTTGTTGCATATCTGTATCTATGTAACACATATGTACATTCACCTATAAATATCACTACAGGTTGCATCTCGCAAAACCGGGACACGCTTGTCTGGCAACATCCATGATCTGGCAGGACTACAGATGTTCTTGAATGAGAGCCCCAGGGCAGGAGGACAAGCAGCCGAGAACCCTGCACATGTCGAGGCTGGTGGTAGTGGGGCCAGAGCCTCAGCAGCCCAGCAGCAGTAGCGGGGCCATAAGTAGCGGGACAGAGGCAGACAGGCAACCCCGCTGGGGCCAGAGCAGCCTGTTCCACAGAGCAACACAATTGGGGCTGTGTGCTGACCCGGAAGCAGGGCAGAGCCGCAGCAGCCTGGCTGGTGATAAGGCTGGGCTGTGGCAGTCCAGCAGGGAAAACCTATCAGGAGCTGTGGCTGTGGAGCTGGGGCCACGGCTGCCCAGCT